CTTGGTCAGCCATTTGCCCTCTGCCCACTGATCAGCAGGGGCTTGTCAACCAGTAGGGCCCGTACGCCGACACCGTGAGCTGTTCCAGTCGAGGCAACTCGGGCCCTCCTGGTAGGGCTATACAATCGCGCTGCTCCTCCCCCATCGGCCGGTAGGGCTCACCTGTTCCAACGCTGTGAGCTGCTCCCATTGAGCATTGGCTTGAGCCCTCCTGACCGGGCGCCCCAAACCACGTAGTCCAATACCAGCAGCCGGTAGGGCCTACCCTTCCAACGCATAAGTCGCTCCCACCGGAGTACGTAGGCTCTTCCGGCCTGCCAACCAGGCGACTTCGGGCCATTCCCGAGCTCGGAGCCCTTCCCCAGACAGCACGCCAAATATGCATTACCATACTTCAGCTAATTACAGTATATGTAAGCGTGAACTCGTGAAATGACCAAAATGGCGATTAAAGCTGCAAAACTGCATGCATGTATGAAATATTCTGCCATTCGAGATCACAATAGGGTGCAAGATAAGTAATTTTTATATGTAATTTAATGCACAAGTAAATGTGAGCGCAGTGCAGTTGTACTAAAAAAATATGCGCTCATTTTCAGAGCTCGATTTAGGTTTGACAAAACTGTCATCCATGAGTAGGCCTGTGCAATGATGGAGAGCAAGATTTTGGGGGTGTTGAGAGCCATAACCAAGCTGACTGAGCAATAAAGCTATAGTGAGCCCTTTTATTAAAATACCTGGAGGTAATACAAAAATAGTCATATTCACTCAGTACTTGATCTAATTCAATCTCTATCTCAATTACAATTAAGTACAAATTAATTGTATTCAGTTCTGTTTTAGGCACTAAAACAGTCCAGTACTTTAAATTAATTTTTATATTGAAATAATAAAGATTTCTGTGCCACCCCAGACTGGTTGCTGGCCCCTTCCTGGCCACCCCTATGAAAACATCCTGGCTCCGCCACTGCCTAAGAGGGCCAAGTGATTAATATCAGTTCATTTCTGAGTATCTCTTTTGCTAAAAAAAAAACACACACACACACACACACGTTTGTGAATGGGCGTTTGATTTACATTTGAGAGAAACTGAGAAGATTGTAAACAAGGATACAAACTAGCCACCTTTCGCTGAAAATTGCCGTTTTGAATTAAAAATAGGCCATCTGTGTGATTCAAGTAGATTTGATGAGTTGAAACTCTTGCTACTTCATAATTTAATACAAAACAATGCTGAACTTTGACAATAAAGAGATTTTTAAATGCTATAATAGTGATTTTATAATGTCTAAATATAAATCCATTAGCAAAACATGTGAAAAGACCTATATTCTAGAGTGGAAATGGTAAATGAGACAATAAATGATTCTCTGCTGCTGTCTAGTGGTCATAGTGGGAATTATGACATTTATTTTAATATAATTTTTTTTTCTACCAGGTGAAATCTTGGCAGAAATCTTCCACTTAGCATGGCAAATTTTCGATGAATTATATCTATAAGTAAAAATGAAAAAAATATCAAGAAAAATATCTTATCTTATGTAAGATGTGCTCCCTTACACAGTGTGTGTGTGATTGCGAAATTGAAAGTGAAATTAAGCAGTGGGAGCGCTCATTCAGATGTGATATTAATGACGCGCATATTGATAGGTCTAGCGGCTAACTGATGCATGAAAATTATTAGCATGTTTGTGGGTGTGGATGGGAGTGGACACACACGTTGTGCGTGAGCAGACGGTAGGCTAAGAAAAAATAAAAATATATGGAGCTCAATGGAATATCAGACCAATTTTGTGATTGCCCAAACCCCCCCACCCCAATGATCCAATGATCTTTGTTTTCACACATAAAGTACACTTGTTTCAGTTTCCTATAGCTTTCATCAGGGAAAGTTTTGGCTTCCTAAGCTTCTCAAATCTGAGGAGGCATATTGAGGTAGCTAAGCTGCTTCTTGCTGTACTCTTATTTAGCTGTAAATGTATAAAGCAAATTGCTTTGTCAGACTGAGGGCATTTTACCCCACCCATGGGGGCATTTTATACCGCCTGTGGGGCAAAACGCCCCGGTACAAATTTAATTTTTGTTAAAAATCTAATTACATGAAAACTCTGGACATTTTTCATACTTGGTTTATAATTTATGTTATTGTCACTAAAACTACGTTAACTATTCTTGACATATCTATTGTTTCACAGAAAAAAATTACACAGTCCTTAAGGGGGTCGTTTTCTCCCACTCTACCCTACATTGTACGACTCGGGAATAATGTCAAGCAAAATAAATTTTGAAAAGACGAATCTTTATTTTTCACACTTTTCTAAACTAAAGAACATAATCTATAAAATTTACAGTAGGCTGCTTAGATTATAATGACCTCAAAATGCCAGGTTTCTGTATTGAAATATAATACCCCATGTATTCAATTTAACCCGCTAAATTATGTTTTTACATAGAATTATGTGCATACTACTACTGAAGTTTCACAAAACCTTATTAACATTTGAATAAAGATTGTCTACTGGCATATGTACCGTCTGTCTTTCGCACAAAGCGTCATAATAAACAGGAATATTGTGGGAAGGGTGTCAGAACTCCAAGAAGCATAATAAATTTTCCCTTACATATCCAACCTTTGTGTTTGTAGTTTATGTTAAAATACAAACTCATTATCTTACCAATTAGGAATTAATAATTTCACATAATCACTTCTCTCTCCTTGTGTTAGTCATTTTTTCCCTCTCTGTAATGAAACCAAGACTTAAAACAGATGCCATGAAAATAGGTCATGTGTTTATTATTGCCAGCAAAGTCAATAACACATTGTTTGGTTCCAAAGAGAAGTCTTTTGCCTATATCTATATTAGCTTTTACAAAATGATTTTAATTATACATTTAAAATATAAATTACTATTTTGCATCAATTTGTCATACAGCATGCCTATTTACCCCCAACTTCATACCACCTGTCATACTTTCAGTGCATTCATAATATGCTATTAATGTATCAATAAATGTTCATTCAGTAGCTTGCCTTAATGTGTGATTCCAGCAATTTTAAAAAAGAGGGTGAATGTTTTGATATAGTAATAAAATTGTTCTTAACAGTCATCACAAAGGGTAAGAATAGGCTCTCGTATTTCCTCAGCCCTCAGCCTCAGAACCGGCTCTCCTCAAGGCTGTGTGCTGAGCCCCCTACTCTACACCCTCTATACACATGACTGCACCCCCATCCACTCCAGTAACGCCATAATTAAGTTTGCTGATGACACCACTGTGGTGGGGCTCATCTCTGGGGGGGGATGAGTCCGCCTACCGGGATGAGGTGGAACAGAAAACAACTTGATCTTAAACACCACCAAGACCAAGGAGCTGATCATAGATTTTAGAAGGAGGAAAACGGACATTAAGCCTCTTTTCATCAGTGGTGATTGTGTGGAGAGAGTATCGTACTTCCGGTTTCTGGGCATTCACATAGAGAACAATTTCACCTGGAGTGTCAACACCACTACTATCATCAAGAAGGCACAGCAGAGACTGCACTTCCTGAGAATACTCAGGAATTACCAGCTCATGCAAAACCTGTTGGTGTCCTTTTACCGTTGTTCTGTTGAGAGCATTTTGACATAGGCCTACTGCATCTGTATGTGGTTTTCCAGCTACACTGCTGCAGAAAGGAAAGCACTCCAGAGGATCATCACCACAGCCCAGAAGGTAATCGGTTGTGCCCTCCCCTCTATAATTTATGTTATTGTCACTAAAACTACTTTAACTATCCTTGACATATCTATTGTTTCACAGAAAAAAATTACACAGTCCTTAAGGGGGTCGTTTTCTCCCACTCTACCCTATATTGTACGACTCAGGAATAAGGTCAAGCAAAAGAAGCTTTCAATCACATAGCCTTTCTCGCTGCCTCATGAAAGCTCAAAAAATTCTCAAGGACCAATCTCACCCAGGACATTCTCTTTTTGAATTGTTACCTTCGGGTAGACGGTTCTGAAAACTCGAACAAACAGATTAAGGAATAGTTTCTATGCCAAAGCTATTTCTGTTTTGAATACTGCAATAACGTAAGTTGAACATCATGTGTGTTGTTGAAGATGAAGTGTTCATCTCTGTTGAATGTGAGATTAATAGTTTACATGCCAAGTCACATCTGTTTTGAATACTGAATAACTTAACTGAACATTGTGTGCAATATTGAATGAGTCGTGCAACTCAGTTGAATGTAAGATTAACAGTTTTCTATGTTTAAGCCATATGTTTTGAATACTGCAGTAACTAACTGATTCTGTTGAACGTGAGATGTCTTTTGTGTGTAATGGTGTGTTTGTGATCCTGTTATCTGTTTACTATTTATTATATTTATTGATTTATTTATTTTGTTAGACTATGCACCCAAAGGATTGTATTCAATTTCATTGTACTAGCACAATGACAATAAAGATATTCAATAAAAAATTTTAAATGACCCCTTGAGTTTGAGTTGCTCTCTGGACCCAAGACCAAATTATTAAACCTAAAAATCAATATTCTGTGACACAATTCACCTAACAATTCAGCTGTTTTCTACACCTATATTTTAACGAAAAAAAAAGCAAATAGAATCCATGGCAGTTGTAATTTAGGTTTTAACATAATTAGTTCTTTTGTGATTGTTAAATATATAATGGCGTGCTGGACCCAAGACCAAATTATTAAACCTAAAAATCAATATTCTGTGACACTATTCACCTAACAATTCAGCTGTTTTCTACACCTATATTTTAACGAAAAAAAAGCAAATAGAATCCATGGCAGTTGTAATTTAGGTTTTAACATAATTAGTTCTTTTGTGATTGTTAAATATATAATGGCGTGTGAATGATGGTAATTATTTTGTTGTGTGTGCCGGGAAATTGATTTTCTTTATTTGACTTGAGGTTAAACATTGACCACTGAATGTATATAAAATCCTCCTGCTGACCTCACTATAAAAATGTCCCCCTGTCCATTTGCCTGTGTGTGTGTTTTTAAAAAAATCTCAGCTCAACTTGGGATAAACAGCATGGAGTGTAAGCAGCGGTTGAAATGGTTAATGCTTGCAATGATATGTCCTATTATTGCAGGTAGGTCTTTTTGCTTATTAAAATGAATGCATTCTAAAATACATAGACAAAACTATTTTGGCTTGTTTCTTTTTTTCTTTCTTTTTTTTAATGGAAATAAAACAGCAACAACTGACAAAAGTTACTTCTGTCATATTTTTCATGGCCTCCTCCACTGATCTGTTTCCACTACAGGTGCTCCATCCTCGATGTCCAAAAGAGACGGTTCATGTCCCAAAGAGAATCTAAACATTACTGGAGGGACCTTTGTTCTTTCTAATGGCTATTCACATGGGAGTCTTCTAAGATACATCTGTCCGAATGGATATTACCCATCAGTTCAGTCATGTCTTTGTCAAGATGAACACTGGACCTCAAAGACCAATATCAGAAAAACCCCAGAGTGCAAAAGTAAGAAACAAGGCATTAATTTGTATCATTATATCATGAATAATTGCTGGACTTATTTATTTTTGTTATACTCTTCTACAGTATGTGTTTATTCATGCATTTATCCTAGAGATCACGTGTCCCAATCCTCGTGTTTTCAAGAATGGAGAGGTGATTCCATATAAAGACAAGTACTATGTAAATGACACAACCACCTACTCATGTCATTCCGATTATACGTTCCGTGGCTCAGCGGTCCGTGTTTGCAAGCCAAATGGGAAGTGGAGTGGAAGCACACCAATTTGTGGACGTGACTGTGAGTAATCTCTATTACTTTGTCAATATGTAAACACGCAGCAGTTTCTATGAACTAGTCTGATTTAAACTGAAATGTAGTTTTCAAACGTAACTTCCATTTGTCCGTTTATTAATGCCTCACAGCTGATCACTGTCCTGATCCTGGTGTTCCCCCTGGTAGCAGTCGAACAGGGAACATGTTTAACATAGACGACAAAGTCACGTACCTCTGCGAGAGTCCATTGACCTTGATTGGTTCCAAAGTGCGAGTGTGTCAGGATGGTAGCCAGTGGTCAGGAACCAAGCCACAATGTTACGGTGAGTCTTCTAATAGCTACATCGTAATTTCAAAATCATGAGTTTTGTAGTACTTGTTTTCTCAAAAATACGTTTTTGGCCCTAAGATTTAGCTAATAAAAAGTAGCTTTTCTGGATAATGCACCTATAATGTTGTTGTTGTTGTGTAAATACTGTACAGCTAATTTCACATACGACACACCAGAGGAAGCATCAGAAGCTTTCAGCAGTTCTCTAAAGACAAATCTAGCAGTTGAAAAAGAAGGTACCACTTAAAGTATTAATCACACACACATACACACACACACACACATGCTGAGTTTTATGGTTTATGGGTACTCTCCATATGCGTAATGGTTTTTATACTGTACAAACGGTATTTTCTGTTGCCCTACACCTAAACCTACCCCTTACAGGATACTTTGTGCATTTTTAGATTTTCAAAAAAACTCATTTTGTATGATTTATAAGCCTTTTGAAATACAAGGACACCGAAAGTGTCCTCATAAAGCACCTTCACGTTGTAATACCCATATCATTATACAAATTTGTGTCCTCATAAACCACATAAACAAGCACACACACACACACACCTTTTTAAAATCTTCATTAATAGTTGCCATGCTCAGAAAAAGAGACAAAATCACATCCACACATTTAAACATGAATTCTGTGTTCCTTCTGTCTTTAGAGCAGCAGGGGAAGAAAATAACTTTGGATCAAAGTGAAAAACTTGATATTTACATTGCTGTGGATGCATCTGACAGCATAGATGAGAAGGATTTTGACAATGCAAAAATCACCATTAAAATGCTTTTAGACAAGGTATGTCGATTGTTAAATCCTCAGAGGTTGCTGTAAGTGAAGTTTAGGCTATTGATGTATAATGCAGCCTTTCCTAAAATCTAAAAGCAGTATTTTAATTGTTGTTCATTTTGATGTTAAAGGTTCTGAAATAATATATATACAAATATTTAAAAAAGTAAAAATGACCATTGTGATACACTGAGATGCTCTCAAGAGTGAACTTGACTTTTAACCTCCTCATCATTGTCAGAAACCTCCAATATGAGCATTAGTGTGTTTCAGGAGGTTCTCCCACAATCCACTGCATACTTGCTGCATCTCAGTGAAAATCCTGTTTCACATCATGGAAACATTAACTGCACTGAAATCCAGCATTTTGATCGGATAACAGACAGGTGTTGTTTCCATCTTTGAATTCTCAATGCTCTTTCCCAAAAGATGAGTTATTACCCGGTCTCCCCAAACTATGAGATCCTGATGTTTGCTACAGATGTTACACCGATAATTAAAATGAATAACTTCAAAATGCAAAAACCAAGCCTATTGGATATTTTTAAAGAGATGGACGATTTTACTTATGAGAGTAAGTATTCTGTTTGAATGTCTCTTTTTGAGTTTTATTGTATACATGGCAACAATTTGATTTTTTAGAGATTGATATTACAGAATAATGTACTATGCAAAAATAGTACATGCAAGTCTAACTTGAAAAAAAAAACATTTATTTATTTCTGTCCAATGTAATAGTAAAAATGAAACAAATCTTACATTCGTTAAAAAAAAAAATCCCAATTCATTTTGCAATTTTGATTCATTTTAATTTAAATTTAGTCAGTTGTTTCAATCAGAAAATGTTTCTCTGCTAACTGTAATATTCTGATGTGAAAAAAACAAAACAGAGAAAGGCGAGAAAACAGGTACCAATATTGCCAAAGTCTATTCAGCCATTGAAGAGAGCATGAACATAGAGGAGCTCAACAATGCAACAGCCTTCAGTGAGATGCAACACATCATCATATTGTTCAGTGATGGTACTGACTTAACAATATTTACAAACAATTTAGTATAAGCATATGTATCTGTACTTTTCTTATTTTGCGCTTACTCAGTTTAAGTTCTTTATCAGAACAAATAAATGAATATATTCATAAAATACCCATGCACAGTATTACAAATTAGAATAGAAATCAACTTTGAAGCAAATATTCACTTTAATTTATCTCATCTTACTTCATAGGTCACACAAACATGGGGGGGAATCCCAAACCTAAATTGGACCAGATCAAACGTCTTGTCATCAAAAATGATCCAAAGCGAGAGAAGAAACTTGGTGAGCAATGAAATTTATTAATCATAATTATATTTAAAATCAAATTGCTTGGACTATAAGTATTTTTTAAAAGTGTGTTTCATTATCAAGCAGTATCATCAGGGGCAGCAAAAAATACACATATTTGTTTAGAAGTTTTTATCATTGATTTCATATTGATATGGATCTATACTCTCTTTCCAGATCTTTATGTATTTGGAGTTGGAGGAGACGTGAATCAAGAAGACGTGAATGGCTTAGTGTCACAGAGGGACCAAGAAAAATATTTCTTTAAGCTTCAAGACTTGACAAAGGTTCAGCAGATGTTTGACGACATGATTGGTACTGTATCTATACTTCACCCAAAAGTGAAATGTCTGTAATTATTTAATCACCTTCATGTTGTTGATGTTTTCTGTGGAACACAAAAAGAGAAATTAATGTCAAACTCTAAAAAAAAGACATTTGAAAATTACAATAACACTATTGTTTGGATGCATCAGTTAAAAAAAAAACGTGGTTCAAACATGGTGCCTTTAGCTGTGTCAAGTCAGGTTGGATTCCGTTGATGGAAAATATCATTAGTTCTTGTGTGTATGAATGCACTAGTTTAAATATGTGGCATGAGCAGTGAGATTTTGGGAACATTCTACAAAATGTCTCCGTTTGTGTTTTATGGAAGAGAGAAAGTTATGCAGGTTTGGATCTACATGGAGGTGAATATATGTTGACAGAATTTACATTTCCAGAATAATGAATGGTTTCTTTAAGTCCTGATTTAAGGAACGTCGTGTATGTAATGAGTGATTAAATTCTTGTGTACCTGCTTCCTTACACAGATGAGAGCACCAGTGTAGGATTGTGTGGGATTGTGTGGGAAGGCTTGGAAAATAAACGCCGTGCATTTCCCTGGTTGGCACAGATTAATATTGTTGTGAGCAGAACCTTTTTATCATTTTATTATATAGAGAACTTAATTACGTTAAAGGAAACACTCATTGAAGTTAAAGGAACATTTTCTCCCACAAGAAGAAGAGACATGCATGTTATGGCTAAAGAGTTGAACCACGTGAGCTATATGAACATCAGTCTTCTCTGCTCTTCATGTAGCGTCCTTCAAAAGGTTCCAATTGCATGGGGTCATTAGTTACCTCAAGTTACATCTTGACAGCGGCTCACAGCTTCAAAGACGGAGACACGGCTGATAAGATAACAGTTAAACTGGAAAAAGATATGGGTATGTCCTGATACGTCCATATTTTCAGACCAAAAACAAACAAACAAACGTGTTACAGGGTAAATCTTATTAATGATGTTTACATTTCCTTTTGCAGTTGTAAAAGTAAAAAATATGTAATTCATCCTGACTATAACCTCATCGCAAAACTGGAAATGGGAATACAGGAATTTTACGAATTTGATGTAGCTCTTATACAGCTGGAAAAACCTGTTGATATCAGTTCTAATCTACGGTGAGGAGCACAGATCTTCATCATGTGATGTTACTTTAGTATGAAAAAAGGAAGAAAAAAATCGAAACTAATTAAATAACATCATGTGTATTTCTCTACAGACCAATCTGCATCCCATGCACCAAAGAAACCAATGGAGCTCTGAAACTTTCAGAAAGTGAAGGGTCGTGCAAAAAACATGGTAAGGTCCCTGTCAGACATGCTGCATGCATATAAGAATCATATCAGAACGTATGAAACATACATATTAAACATGTGACATTGCTTTTATGCAATGAAACATATCAAACATAAAATGTCAGTTTTTGCTTTATGCATTTGTTACAGAGGAAATACTAATGAGCAACGAGCTTGTGGAAGCTGCTTTCACATCTGATATGGATAGTGAAAAAGGCAATAGTCTGAAAACAATAAAAAACATCACATTCAAGCTTGGAAAATATGTAATGATTTTTCTCATTTCTAATTATGTGTAGTTTGAAAAGCTTAATTTATGTTTATTTATGCAGAGGCAGTTTATTCATTTGAGATGTCAGACCTCATAGCATTTTAAAGTAAAATATTCTCAAATTGTCAACATTTAGAATTACTCAACCATATAAACCAACTAAAAGCAACATCACTTTAACTTTGATTTCATGGGGCCTTTAAAGTGCCATTAATCAACGCAATCATTCCTGCACTACCATTTTCTAGCACTTGGGTTTCATTTAGGCATTTAGCATTAAATATGTTAAAAACATCAGAAAACATATTATTTGAATCTCTCATGAATTAAAAAAAAAACATATTTAGTCATCATCATCAAGATAAGAACACTTTTTGGTGTACTTTTTCTCTAGCGAGATGCTTGTGTTGAAGATGCAATAAAAGCAAAAGGAATTGAGGTGAAAAATGCCAGGGAAGCAGTCACAGACAATTTTCTGTGCAGTGGTGGTATTGAACCAAAAACAGATGATGTTGCCTGCAAAGGTATGTTTGATTTTTGCAATCAAGACGGCAGCTTGTATTTGGTTCTAATCTACTGTTTAGGTCATAAAAATTGAATTGATAACAATTTAATCAATTCTGAAAAATGTATACAATTCTCATATAGTTTCTTGTGTCTGCATGGCATTTTATAACAGGAGATTCAGGTGGGGCCTCTTATGTGATTAAAAACGGTCGAGTGATTCAGGTGAGATTTCCGTTTTCTTTTGAAAACCGTATTGATGATGTGGCTGTAAAGTCTCTGTAATCTGTTACATATTACAGGGTGAAATTAAAGACTAATTTGAGAGAAGCTGAGAAATAGGAACTTTTTTGATATCTGTAAAATCTTTAATAGGTTGGTATCATAAGCTGGGGAGTGAAGGACATCTGCAAGGAATCAAAGAAATTCACCTCGGATGCAGACTCCAGAGATTACCATTCAAATCTTTTCAGTGAGAAAATACGCTCATTCCTTAAAGAACACCTAGAAAATGACCGTATAGGAAACCCTCTTAAATTCTTGTGAATGCTTTAGCAGACTGAAACTGTGTGAGTGCAGGTTGAGAAAACACTGTTTTGTTTTCTGATCAGTATATTCAAATTTAAGTCAAATAGCTGGTCTTTGTTAAAAAATATATTTAAAAAAATAATCCAGTTTATTATCAACTGTCTTTCATGTTTTACTGATTTAATGTTATGTCTTTGTAGTCTGTACTGAATATCCAATCACTGGCAGGCAGGGGAGTTTCCTTATTGTTGCAATTTCACAACTTATTTCCATCTGTCTTAAAAAATGATAATAGCAAGTAATAAAAGCCTAACTGTATGTCACTAAACCTGCTGTTTTGGGGCTGAAGTAAAATGGAGAGAATATGAAAAATGTAATGAAAAATGACAGCTATGGCATTGATCAGACAAGAACCATTGTCATGTTAACGCATTCCAAACACACAGTACATAAGCCATTCTGTGCAATTTTTGTACTGAGCAAACATGTGAGGGTGTTGAAAACCAGTGGCGGCTCCTGAGTTTTAAAATAGAGAGGCACACTAATTGTATTGGTCTGGGATCCCTGCCGATTATTATTATTATTATTTGCTTAACCACTTTAAAATGGCTTTTTGGTTGCTTTTAGTCAGAAAACGTAAAGCAAACGACATACATTCAGCAAGATAATATAATTTCACTAATCTGGCCTATCACTTGAAGCAAACATCCATCCCTTCTTAAAAGTATGTGTATGGTATTACAACTGTGAAATTACAAACAAAAAATACACATTCTGAGACATGAACTGAAATGAATTGTGAATTTTATTAACATTAAATCGTCCTGCCACTGTAAAACGAGCCACCACTGTTGAAAACATCATCTATGATGATGTGTGCAGTTTCATTATGCGTGAAACTGCACACATACATAGTCTTGATGAAACTATACATATACATACACACATAAACATACACACATATACACGTACACTTTTATTTTGTATTTGCTGTGCGGTTTGGACGCGGCGTCCGTCCAAAATAGACTAGGCGCCTATCTTTAGCGAAGCGGTGCGGAGAGCCGCTTCTGGGACGCTTTTGAAACGTGCCGCAGCGCGTCTGGTGTAAACACAAGCATTGACTACAATGCCCGCGATCAGTTCCGGTAGCCGCGTCGGAGTCGTAACGCGCCGCAGACGTGTGCAGTGTAAATAAGGGGTCAAACAAAGCGACGGCGAGTCGTGCGCCTTCACACTAGAGTTTACGGTACGTTGTGTGTTGCACATCCATTCAGATTAACTGAAAAACAGCACAGATCGCTTGGCGGAGAGTGAAACTCTGATGCGCTCAGTCAGAGAGTGTTCGGCGAGTGAAAATATATCTGAGCTAAACTTATACTTAGCCTCCAACTCACACACTGGCGAGTAAAATCTGAGAATTTATTAGCAATTGGCTAATATTAGACATCGTTTAGCCGCCAGAGTGAAGATTTAGTCGCATATGCGAGTGATTTACTCGCAGTGTAGAGGGTTGTAACATTTGTTTACTTCTGCAAGTTTTATAGTGTTGTATAGGTATGTAGGTATGGGAAGTTAATGGAATAGCTCACCCAAAAATGAAAATGTACTCACCCTCAGGCCATCCAAGAAGTAGATGAGTTTTTCTTCATTAAAGAAATTTACCATTCCATTACTTGCTCACCAATGGATACTCTGCAGTGAATAGAACTCAGAATGAGTTCAAACAGCTGATAAAAAGCAATAATCTTGTCACAGATTGCTAATAAAAAACTACCAACATTTATTTAGGATAAGTACATTTTCAGCAAAATTTCACTTTTGAGTGAACTATTTAACAACCTCTAATATTATAATATTATGATTTTTTTTTTAAATCTTTTGCTTATATAGCATTGCAGAGAAGATGCGCATTGCTGGCAGCATGGTCTTCATATTACTGCTCTTCATTCTCACGGCCATTTTAGTGAAAGTTAAGATGGACCAGGACCACTTCTTTTCCATTACAATGGCGACAATCTGGTTTATTAACAGTATGTTTCTTATAATATTGAAGTTTATTACATGTGAATTACACCTACAGAATGTTCACCTTCCCCTTTTCACATTATATTAAAAAGAGTATTACAATAAAACCACTTTCCACTTTCTCTCAAATATGTTTGAGTGAGCGAATCCTCTGACAAATCGAACACCCCTCGTCTTTCTTTGCAATTTCGTCCAGTGTTTGGGGCTGTGCTGCAAGGTAGTCTGTTTGGTCTGGTCGGTAAGCTGCCCCGAGATTCAACTCCCTGTTCATGAGCGGACAGGCAGTGGCAGGAATCTTCTCTGGTATTGCCATGTTGTTATCGAATATCTGTAAGTACTAGCAATATTCCACTCAAGCTGGACAAAAAGATTTTTAAAAATCACATTCTAATTACTTGGTGTACTGTATAGCTTTTTTAGTGTCCTAACAGTACTTTTGCATTCACACTATGCATAAAAGGACTCAGCCTCTTGCAGTTTAAATTAATTGTGCAACTCTAATCCACATTCCTTTTTTTTTTTTTACTTAAAATGTTGGTACTTTTTATTAGCAATCTGAGAGAAACCATTTATTCTGACAGCTGGGTTTTTTTTAATGCAATCTTTAGTTGAAACTGACTCAGACAGTTCTGCCCTGGGATATTTCATAACCCCCTGTGTCGCCACTCTACTTACTTTATGCTGTTACCTTCCGTGTACTTCCGCATCTGGTAGGTGCCACCGGACATCACGATTTCCTTTTACTTGTCATTTAACTGTGTTGACACAGATAAAAAGCATTTACTCAATTATTTTTAGCAGTTTTTTTTTAATTGCTATAATACATTAAAATTGTACATTATTAGCTCAACAGTATTCTAATTATTTCTTAATATTTCGAATTATTATTATAATTCATTGTTATAATACAGAGATTCACCCAACTTCATTTGGAAAATGTGTCCACTAAAACTACAATGAAAAAACCATCAGCAAATAGTTCTGGTATGTCACATCATACATTTTTCCATTGTCTGGACAAATTCCAGCAAAGCCACTCACTGTTGGTTCTTCTAAATCATGAATTTTGATCTTTTTGTTGCTACAGAGCTTGTTAAAGTGAAGTTGAATCATTTTGACAATGGATTTGATGACATTGGTGAAACTGAAGCATGTAAAAAGCTGAATGAGCTCAAACAGGAACCCACTGAGAAGTCAACTGTGCCACAAGTCTTCAAAAAGGTATAGCAAAAATTTTTTCTGTTTAAAAACCCACCATTAGGAAAAATTCACTGAACATATTTTAAAATTCCATTTATTTTTATTTATTTATTGTAGATTTGGGTGATGGCTTTATGCGTGACATGCGTGTTTGCCGTCACACTGTCCGTTTTTCCAGCAATTACTATAAATACAAAACCTTCTGGCTTATTTGATGGGAAAGGTGAGTCTGCACAAGATGTCTAGCTCATGCATTATGTTAGTCAAAGCACTGTGATTTTCATAATTTTTATCTTATAGATAACATCTTCGTACCTGTGTGTTCATTCATTGTCTTCAATGTGATGGACTGGATTGGCAGAAGTCTCACTTCTCGTCTTCAGTGGGTGAGTCTCATCAGAGCCTATCAACACAATACAATGCCTAACTATGGAAATTGTTTAACTAACATCCATCTTTGTTCCTTCCCAAACTCCCAGCCTTCGATGAAGAGTCATTCATTCCCTTTTTTTGTGGTATTATGGGTAGTTTTCATTCCTGCCCTCATGCTCTGCAACATTCAGCCCCGCTTCTATCTCCCAGTCTTTTTCAATCATGACATGGCTTATATCATCATCATGTCTTTGTTTGCCATGACGAATGGATATTTTGCCTGCCTCTCCATGAGCTATGCTCCACAGTAAGTACTTTTAAAGACAACACAAAATATATTATCAAGGTTATTTACGATCAAAATCAGCTGAGGTCATTCAGGACAAACTCATTGTCCCCCATAATATATCTCAGAAAACCCACAAACTCTGTTTATTCTTTATCTAGACTGGTGAGGCCTAAAGATGCAGAGACAGCAGGGGCTCTGATGACCTTCTTCCTGGCTTTGGGACTCTCTCTAGGTGCCGCTTTCTCTTTTGGCCTTAAAAGAATTCTTTAGGGAAGATCCCACAGGCTGACACTTCTGTTATCTCATTATCCCACCAACATAAACAAGTTTCAAATTACTATTATTTTGAGGCTCAGGTATACTTTTCCCTTGTTTTCCTCGCTTTATCTTGTGCACAGTTGAGTGTGCAAGCTTTTCAAAGTATACTCCATTGACCACAAACATGTGTATATATACAGTATACTTAGTTTATGTAATAAACTTCAGTATACTTACATTCTGTAGATGTAAACTTTTCTCTTAGCCTTTTTTTATTTATGTGTCTGTATTTTAAAACTTGCATTTCCATAGGGTGTTTTTTTAAGGGAAGTCTTTTACCTTTAATTTGTTTAATATTTTTATTTGTTTGATCAGTTTTGTACATACATTTTTACATCAAATGTATGTTTTTATATGTGGTATGTTTTTATATTTTTATTTATTTTTATTGGTGTATTGTGTGTTTTATTTGTTGTTGTTGTTTTGCTTAATTTTTTATAAAATTGTAAAATATAGCAAACGCTTCACCTTCAACCTGTGGGTAACTGCAGAAACCCCAGTCAGGAACAGGTTAGATTTGCTGATGCCTTGTGGAATTTTGTGTGTATAGCATGAATTGTCCTAGTTTTTATGTCCAATTAAACATTACTTTTAGATTAAATGAGTAATGGCAAATTATTGACTAGCTTTGGCACTCTAGACTGATGAAATACGCTCTAAGCACTTAATAGTGATGTTTTCATTAAGTTCAGGTATATATGCTTTGATTAAACAATATACTGTATATTTTTTAGGGTACTTTATTTTTCTTCCTCCAAAATGTAAGTCATTTGTATGACGGGGGAGCAGATGTCTACAATGAACGGTGCCATTGTGAAAAATGATATTCTGTCAGGTTTTTGTACTCTTCAATCCCTATTGGCTTGTGAGACAACTTTTCAAAACATAAGAGATGGACCACTAACAAGGTCAGACAGCAACTGATGGGTGTCACGGGATATCAACTGGTGACTCACAGGACTAAATCACTGCAGCAAAGCCGTCCATTACATCTGACATTGTTCCTGGAGTTAGATATTGAAGGGTTTCATGAATTTAGGAGTAGGGTGTAGGGGATGTTGTGGGTGGTGTACATGTCAGGAAGGGCTCTACAAGTCGCTCTCCAAACGGCACTGAAGAAGGAG